TTTTTACCGTAGAGGGGATGGGGGGGTGTTCGGGAACCTGGGCTTGAAGCAGCAGGTACTACACCAAGTTGAGCAGAAAACGCTCTGGGCTGGAAACTCGACCCCGACCGCTGAGACGCCGGGGCACAACCCCTTCGTGTGAGTCTCCATCCCCTCGCATGCAACTCAGGGCACTGGGCCAGGTCTCTGAGGATGCCCGCGGTACCCCCAACTGGAGCCCTGCCTTCACCTGCCTGGGGTCCCAGGCTGGGCTGCCAGTCGGCTGCACCGTGTGCACGTCCGCCTGGCCACACCCCTGAGTGTCCATTGTGCGCACGCACGCACACGCACGTACACACGCACACCCCTTAGGAGACGAAGGGTCAGAGAACAGGTGCTCAGGACCAGCACCTGTTACAGGTCTGGGGCAGCTGCTGCAGTGGGACTGGGACTTCGTGGGACCCACGGGCACGGCGGGGGCCGGTGGAGGACCTGCAGGGTACTCCACTTGCTGAGGAGTGAGCTAAGGAGAGGCAGGAAGGTGAGAATACCACGGTGAGGGGGGTGCAGGAAGGAGTGGGAAGGCTCCCAATGGAGGGAGTCACCTGAAGATGGGGAGCGGGGTGGGTGGAGACCTGGGGCCACCTCCTACCAGCCGACCACGGTGAGTCGTTCCACCCCTCAGATCCAGCTTCCTCAGCGCAGGCCAAGCGCAGGCCAGGACACGGTCGGGGCGCAGGGTGGGCCAGGAGGGAGCTGGACAGGTCTGGGGTTGAACCTAGCCCCCCTCGGCAACTGTATACCCAGACAACCCCACCCAGCTCCCCCGATCTCCATTTCCTCGTCTCTGAAACAGAAGCAGCGACGCTAGACCCACGACCCTCACGGGACAGCAAGGTGAGTGTAGATGTGTGTGGCCGTGCCGACTCGGGAAGGGCTCAAACAGCTTTTATGATGGCGTGCTGAGAATGCTGTCTGGCTCCTGCCGCTTCACGAGGCACGAGGGTCCACGTCATCCCTGAGAGCCCCTCGGAGCTCTTATCCTTCTTTGCTGTCCCCAGAGAAGTAGCCGGGCATCAAGTCTGAAGGGCCAACGGCAGGGGAGGGGCAGAGGGGCACGTCATTCAGGAGCCCCAGGGCTGTGGTCCGAGGGAGAGCAGAGCAGCCCCCTTTGTGCAGCCCCCTCTTTTCTAGGGCAGTCTGGACATCTGTGGGAGTGGCAGAGCCACTCAGGCCACAAAGCCACTTGAGCCCTGGGGCTGGAACCTGGCAGAAAAGCCATAAAGACTCTCAGGAGGGTCAAAGCGGTCCCCAGCAGGGACAGCCACAAAATGGCCCCTCTGCTCTCAGCAAAGCTCTCTGGGGTTCACAGTGTGAGAAAGGACCAGCGAAAGCTCCTGTGGCCCTACCCCTTGAGCTCCTTGGCGATGGACAGTCTCTCCAGGGGCAAGGCCAGCCGAGGACAGGCATCTGTGTTGTACTGGTGGGCATGTGCTGTCTTCTGTGTAAGACACAGTGTGGGTGCCGTAAGGGGTGAGGATGGGCAGAAAAGGGGCAGAATAAAGACCAGCCCCCAGGAGCTCACAGAAGAGAAGGGGAGATGAGACGATCCAATGTGACCTGGGGGACACTGAGGGCAGCAGAGAGGAAGCCCCAGGATTTGGGCTTCATCACAAGTGACAATAACGGTTGTCCCTTTTTGTTACCACTGCCCAGTGTCCCACAAGTAATAGCAGCTGGCATTCCCGTGTGCCACGTTGGGGACCATGCAAAGTGCTCGTTACTTAAGGTCACAACAACTCCAAGGTAGGCACTCTCGACTGCTCTATTTTGCAGAAGAGAAAGTGGAGGCTCAGAGAGGGCAAGTGACCAGCTCGGGATTGCTGGGAAGTGGTAGGGCTGGGATCTGAACCAGGTCTGTCTGACCTTAAAGCTTATATTCTTGACCACTCCCCACTCAGCTTTAGGGAAAGAAGAGAATCAAGCATGGAAGGAGAAAGAAAAGACAAAACTACAAAAAGGAAACAGACAAGCCTGCTACTGGAGTTGCAGACTTCAGCACCCCTGCCTGACAGCTCACAGGCAGTCGGGGGGAATACAGACGGCTTGAACAACACCATCCGTCAACTGGATCTAACTGATGTCTACAGAACACTTCCCCCAATAGGAGCAGATGGCACATTCTTCTCAAGCTGACATGGAACACTCACCAAGAAAGATCACATGCTGGGTCATAATATTAAAAGGATAGAAATCATAAAAAGTATGTTCTCTGACCACAGCGGAATTAAATAGAAATCAGTAACAGACTAATAGCTGGGAAATCCCCAAATATTTTGAAATTAAACAACACACTTCTAAATAACTCAGGGGACAAAAAAATTGTCGTAGGAGAAATTTTAAAGCATGTGAACAAATTGAAGAAGATATAATTTATCAAAATTTGTAGGATGCAGCAAAAGCAGTACTTAGAGGGAAATTCATAGCCCCGAATGCATACCCTGGAACAGAAAGGCAGGTGAAGGGAGAGTTGGCCCTGGAGAATGGATGCCACATTGAGTGTGACTTTAAAAGGATGCTGGGCAGAGACCTGGCAGGCAGGGAATCAAGTCCCTGTCCGGTGTCCCAAGAGAAAGTGCTGAGGTCACACCTACCACCACAGGTCAGCAGGTTCTGCAGGAGCACGAGGTGGACTGGGCATGAGCACCGTGGGGTCCCGTCACCCTTGGCAATGCAGATGTGGGAGCAGCCACCGTTGTCCCGGGCACACGGGTGGGCCGCTGTGGAGACGAAAAGAGAGAGGGGGTCAGGCTCGGCCTCTCACCTCAGGACTGTAGCCCCAAGGGTGCTGGAAACTAGGGCCAGGCAAGAACTCACAAGAATGGTCACTCCTATAGGCCAGCCCCTGCAGTTAATCCCACTTAATTCCCGGGGCAGCTGACAGAGTGTACTTCCATTAACGTGCATTTTACAGACAGGAGAACGAGAGGCTGAAAGCACTCACGGAACTGGCCCAACATCACACCCTAGCCCGTCTACACTAGCTCCCACTGCTCCCACAACCATCACTCTACACTGCCTGTCTCTCATGGTGTAGTGCACCACCCCCCACAAACATATGTCCACGTCCTGATGCCTGGAACCTGTGAATGTGACTTTATTTGGAAAAGGGGTCTTCACAAATGTAATCAAATTAAGGCTCTGGAGATGAGGTCATCCTAGATTTTTGGGGTGGGCCCTAAATGCAACAACAGATGTCCTTATAAGAGACCCAGAAGAGGGGCGCCTGGGTGGCGCAGTCGGTTAAGCGTCCGACTTCAGCCAGGTCACGATCTCGTGGTCCGTGAGTTCGAGCCCCGCGTCGGGCTCTGGGCTGATGGCTCGGAGCCTGGAGCCTGTTTCCGATTCTGTGTCTCCCTCTCTCTCTGCCCCTCCCCCGTTCATGCTCTGTCTCTCTCTGTCCCAAAAATAAATAAACGTTGAAAAAAAAAATTAAAAAAAAAAAAAAAAAAGAGACCCAGAAGAGGTGAAGACACAGGGGAGAAGTCTGTGCAGGGACTGTCTCTCTCTCTCTCTCTCGCCCCACTGGAGCCATGTGGGCCCAAGGAGCACCTGCAATCACCACAACGTGAAGGACACACAGAGCCGCCCCAGCCCACAGCCCCCAGAGCGGGCCGCAGGCCTGCTGACACCTTGACCTCGGACGTCTGGCCTCCAGGCTGTAGGAGAACACACTTCTGTTGCGTTAAGTCACCCAGTTTGTGAAGACTTGTCATGGCCGTCACAGGAAGCGAATACACATGGGGATAAATAGCAGGACGGCACATCCCCGGGGAACTTGAGGTTTTCGATTCAATTAACCGAATTAACCAACACCTGAACAACAGGAAGACGCGGAGGAGGGTGGCTGCCCTCCCCTGGGCAAGAGGAAATGAGAAAAAGCACTACCCCCCCGCCCCACGGAAAAATCAGTGTCCTGCCTCAACCTCGGGGGTTAAGAGTTTAAAGTGACAGAAGTCACGGTTTAGAGCAGGGGTCAGCCAACTTTCTCTAAACAAGAATAGTAAAGGGTTTGGGCTCGATGGGCCAGACCATCTGTCACAAGTCTGCCAGCTGTAACACAAGGGTGGCCATGGGTGATGCACAGACCAATGGGCGTGGCTGTGTGCCAATAAAACTTTATTGTAAGATCAGGTGATGTCCAGATGGGGCCCAGGGGCTGTGGAGCGCCACGCCTGGTTTAGAGTTTAGCTGTAGAATTTCGTGGGTAAGCAGGTTGGGTGCTCCACGTCCCAGGTAAACATGGGAATGCTCACTCAAGGATCTCCCACCCTCACCCAAAACAAGGAGCCTCTCCCTACACATCACACGTTGGCACTCATGGGGACATCCCAGTTTCCAGCGTCATCCCTGTTTGTTAAGCATTTCCTGGTTCTCCCAGCCCCTCAGGTCCAAGGACCTGCTGGTCGGCCTGCCTGGCTTTCTGCCAACACCGGCAGGTCTGGGCATTCGTGGGCTCAATGTTCACCATGCTGAATGGTTCTGAAGGCTGTGACACCCAGTAATCAGTGGCTTCCCTGAGAATGGTGTAAGGGGCCAGGGAAACTCAGGCATTCTCACCCCTATCCATTGGGTGCCTCAGCTATCTGGAAGCCGTTGGCCCAGTGACTTCACTTAGGCAGGACCTGGCCAAGAACCCACAAGGACAGAAACCAGCCACCCGGCAGTCAACACAGAAGTCACCAATTCGCTCCATCGGAGGTCACGCCCCCAAGCTCAGAGGAGGGAGCCTCACGACCTCACTCAGAGCCACGTGTTTGGACTCCACACATAACTCTGATGAACTCGATCTGCCCAACCCACCGGGGGTAAGCTTCAGAAAAGCCAGTGAAGAAACAGGGGCTCTGCCCTCAGATCCAAGCCCTGCCGTGTTGATCAGCCCGTTGACGGGGAAGTTAATACCCTTTCTAAGCCCCACCCTCCTCAGATGTAATGCAGAATTAGGGCAAAACAACACAGGCAACATAGTGATGCACTGAGCACAGGGCCTGGGGGCTAAACGGTCAGAGCAGCTTTGCAGAGCAGGGAGGCCCAGAGAAGCTGATCCACGCAAAGTGCCACACCTGACCCTGGGTGGGGGCAGAGAAGTAGCAGGAGTTACTCAGAGCAGAGGAAGGCGAGCAGAGACAAGGACTCCAGGGACGGGACACGTGGCCAGCGGGAGCGTGAGGGGCCCAGGTGAGGCGGCAGGTGGGGCAGCCCCCCCATCCCGGGCCTTGAAAACAGGGAGCTCGAAGATGGCCAGACCAGGGGCATCGCAGGACAGGGACAGCGATGGCCCTGCTCACCGCTCTGTCCACGCAAGCAGCTGGCAGCTGGGGTGTATTTAGTGAAAGCAGAGTGAGAAAGACAGACAGACAGACAGACACATTTTCCTGTGTCCACCTATAGTCATACACAGAGCGGGTGGAGAAACCAGAGGTCCCAAGTGTAGGGGTCCTGATCTTCCAGCCCTTGGGCACAGCCCAGACTGTCGGAGGAAGAATCCTAAAATGCCTCCAATCTCCCAGCCTAATCCCCAACACCGCGGATGGGGTTCTGCTGGAGTTAATGAAAGGGGACGCTAATTTGAAAGTGGGTGACTCTCACGGGACCCTGGAAAAGCCGAGCAGATTGTCCGGCTGGTAGCAGACGAGGAAGTCAGGTTCGGATCTGTTGCTGAGATGGAGAGGCATACTGAGGACCCGAGAGTGGCCCCTGCCAACAGCCAGTCAGCCCGCAGCCCTCACACTGGCCAGCCTCCTTTCTCCGAGGGGCCGGTTCAGGGCTCTGCAGAGTGCCCAGGGGTCAGTGGGGACCTGCCTGACACTGCCGCCCTCCCGCTACAGGAACTCACTCAGGCTGATATCCTCCGCAGTGAGTCTGCGGTCAGGTGGACACCACCGGCTGGACTCGGAGTCGACTTGTCCGGTGAGTCTTCTCCACGGCTTCCGTCATCTGTTGCTGGCGGTCAATCCAGTACGGTGTCTGGCCCATACCGGTCGGCCCGGGCTGCGATGCACGTCTCTATCATCTCTCCAGGTCTGGGCGGTCGTGGCACCCCTACCGTGGGACAAGTGCCCCAGTGGCCTGCCGCTGACGGCGCTCAGCCCATGCTCTTCGGAGCAGGGCGCCGGGAGGAGCAGGCGGTGGTCTGTGCTCTGGCCGGGGCCAGGAGCTGGAGCGGATTCCCTGGAAGCTGGCCGACCTGGCAGCTGGGCTGACCCCTCCCTGCAAGCACGGTGCTGCCCCCTCCCCTCCCCTCCCCCGCCCCGCGTACGGAAGAAAAGCCCCTCTAAGCAGGTCTCCAGCCCAGAGGCATCCGGGTCTAAGGCGGCCCAGGGCAGAGCGGCCACAGGGGTGGGTGCTGGAGGCAGAGGGGTCCCGGCCCACACTGTGGGACCCTGGCAGGTCACCCACCCTCTCTGAGACGCCTCTTCTGCCCTGCCACACGGGGATCATTCAGGACCCACGTCCTGGAACTCTCAGATGATAACAGTACTCGGTAGACATAAAGCCCCAGCATGACGCCCACCTGATGAACATGGAGGCTGCCCCCACTGTTCCCGATGACAAGGAAGGCCGGGTGTCCCCGGGAAGGTCAGACGTGTGGGTTGCCGAGGGACCCAATCCCTGGGGAGGCCCCAGGGCACCTACCTGACAGGTCGCAGCTCTCGATACGCTTCAGGTCCGCGTCCACCCAGAAGAGCTTGCCCAGCCTGTTGTCCACCACAAGGGCCACGGGGCGGATGAGGCCCGTGGTGAAGAGGACCTCACGCTCGGTGCCGTCCAAGGCCGCTCGCTCAATCTTGGCGGCTCGGTCCTGCATGTTGGTGAAGTACAGGTACCTGGGGGAGGGGAGCAGGTGAAGGGTGTTGAGTCCCCCCCATCCCTCACCGGGAACGAGCTCGCCAGGCGCCAGATAGACCAGCCCCTGACCCCGTGTCCATCTAGCCGGGCTTTGGAAAGTCACCAGGCACAAGGCCCCGGCCTCTCAGGGCTCGCCCCCCCCAGGCCCTATGGGGTTCAATGTCCCCCCAAGAATTCCCATCCACCCAGAACCTCAGAAGGGGACCCATAATCGGAAGCTGAATCTTTGTAACGCAGTTACGGTGAGGCCATCTGGTCAAAGAACACCCGGAGCCCCCAGAAGCTGGAAGAGAGACAAGAAAGGATCCCCGCAGAGCCTCTGAAGGGGGCACAGCCCTGCCACCGCTTGACGTTAGATTTCTGGCCTCTGGAACCGTGGAAGAACACACATCTGCTCTTTTCACCTCCCCCGGCTTGTGGTCAATTGTGGCGGCAGCCTTGGGGACCAGCGCCCACCCCAGCGGCTGCAGCAAAGGAGCCCCTGCCTCCGTGGAGGCCAGCCTCGAGGGAGACTCATCAGCTTGCGGAAGAGCCACTAGGCTTGTGCTCCCTGAGCACTCGTGTGCCGCGGGAGCTGACATCACCATCGTCCTTCTCGGAAGAAGACACCGCACCCCCGAGGTCACTTCACCTGCCTGGGGTCATGGGGGCAGTAAGCGACGGGGTCAGGATTCCAACTTGGGTCTGCCCGGCCCAGGACGCGGGGTCGCGCTGGCCATCGCCCAGCACGAGCTCCACCAAGCGGAGCCCCCAAAAATCTGACTCCCGCCTGGCGCGGCGGCCATGCACGAACCTTCCTGCGCTCAGCCTTGTTTCTGAGCTTTACGGCACGTGGCTTTAAGGCTCCGCCTCGCCCTGGTTATTATTCCCTTTGGGACCCTCCACGTCTGTCTACCTCCTCGTGGAAGGAAGAAGCTCCCAAGAGTCGAGGCTGTGCCCAGGAGGGTAGTGAGCTCCCGGTGGTGAGACGTATTCAAATAGCCAGCCCCCAGCTGGGATGCTATGGAAGGGATTTTTGCTCAGCGTTCAAATTTGATGGGGATGGTGCAAAACCTATGGATTAAAACTTCTATCCTTCCCGGGTCTCCCTGCCCCGGGGTGCAGCACCCCACACCGCGGTGCCCGCCCACCCCACCGCCTCGCACCCTCGCTCGGCGTTGACGACGATGGCCCGTGGCTTGTCGCGGTCCCCACGGAGCACCACACCCATGGCGTCTCCATTCAGCCGGTGGACGTTGATGGTGTTGGTGGCCTCACACGTCCAGAACAGCGTCCGGCTGTAGATGTCGATGCTGAGGTCATGGGGCTGCCTGTCCGGGTTTTGGCTCTGGCTTGGAGAGGTCAAAACGAAGGGCTGCATGTAACACAGGAAGAGATGGGCGTTGGCTACGGGCGTCGCGGGAGGGCAGAGGCCTCGGTGCCCGAGTTCAGACTGAAAGTCGATCTCCGACCCTGCGTCTCGACCTTTCCTGTCGGATCAGCACTCCCCCACGTGCCTGCTTGAGAGGGAACCTGATCACGGAGAGGTCCTAGAAGGGCCCTCGCCCCTCGGCTCGGATCTCCAGCCCACCCCTCAGCAAACTGCCGGCGGACTGTCGGCTGCCACGCCCTCCGGGTCCCGTTCCTGCCCCGGAAGGGCCGCCTGGTGGCTCGACAGTCAGCCCAGGGCCACAGCCTCCTTCTCGAGAGACATCTTCTCTTTTCTCGCTCGTCGTCTTGGGCTCGTGCTTTGGGAGTAAGACCTTCAAGTCTCGTTATTTGTTCAACTCAGGGTGACAGGACCACAGGTGTATAGAACACAGTTTCCCCTCTCACGGCCCCTTCTCTGAAGGAGAGGCCGGGGGTGCGGGCCCGGGTGGGGGTGCGTGATGACACGCAGTGCCTGTCCCGAGCAAGGGGCCAGCCGCCCCTCCCGGCAGTGGTTCGGTCTACACTCTCTGGGTCTCTGCCCTGCCGGAGAACTCTGCCTGGCTCCGTGCCACCTGCTGTAGCTCAGGGGGTTCCATGAAATGCCGCGGAAGAAGGGAGAGCCCGAGGTCACCCTCATCTGCCTTACAGACCAGAAGCCTCACTCCCTGGTGGATCTGGGCCCCTTGGGTTACCCCGAAAGACCGTGTTCAGGTTCTCAGGTGATCTGAGCTGGTGCAAGGCGGGCTTCCCCGGACTGCTACCAATGGTTTGGATGAAAAGTCCCTTCCTCTGAGGGCATCCTTAAGATGATGCTGTCACAAGAGCTCATTGCAAACTTCCTTTATCTCTTTGGCAGTCACTGAAACGAAGCCCCTGGTGGCAAGAAGGGGCTTGCAGCCAAAAAGAAGCCCCTTCACCAGGCCCAGCCTCTTGAACCCAGCTGGAAGGGTACACCTCCCCCTGTCCCCGACACACACACACACACACACACACACACACACAGTCCCACTGGGCGGCTAGCAGTGTGTGACTCACATCTGAACACAGAGCCCTTCTTTAAGGGTCATGTGCCTCTGCAGGTGATAACACCCACCTCCCCAGGAGCTGGGCGCTCTGGGAGCCGAGCGTCTGCTCCAGCTGGGCACATCCCTTTCCCCCGAAGCACAGACTCTGGCCTGAGACCACAGCCCAGGGCAACTGATGGGCTGGGACTGAAGCCAGACTGCAGCCCGGCCCTGGCCGTGTCCCGGGCATCAACCCTGACTTTGGGACGCCAGGCATCAGAACACGCAGCTGAGAAATGCACGGGGCGTGAGGTGACACGCGGCCCACACCTGTCCTCAGGCAGACGGATGACTGTCCAGTTATAAAACCGGAACTCCACGAATGCAAGATTTCTTAATAGAATCCTATTCGAGGCCACAGGCAACACCCCACCTCCTCCCCAGGACAGAGTAGCACCTGTCATCACGCACCCCCACCCAGGCCCGCACCCCCTAGCCACGTGGGGGCATCCACAGGGGTGCTGTCACAACAGCCCAAAGACCCAGCGTCCAGCAGTGGAAGGACAGAGAAGCAAACCGTGGTCCACCCACACAACGGAGCGTTTTCAGCCTTAAGAGGAAGAAAATTCTAACACCTGCTCTGATACGGAGGAACCCTGAGGACATTATGCTAAGCGAAAGAAGCCAGTCACACACACAAAAAAATAAATAAACACTGCATGATTCCACTTATACGAAGTACTTAGAATATAGTCAGATTCGAAGAGACGGAAAGAAGGGAGGTTGCCTTAGGGTGGGGGAGGGGGAGGGGGAGGGGGAGTCAGTGTTTCATGGGGACAGACTTCCAGTTTGGGGAGATGACCGAGTTCTGGAGATGGTTGGGGGTGACGGCCCCAGGACAATGTGTGTGCTTCGTGCTGCTGAGCTGTGTCCTTGGAAATAATTAAGATGATAACTTTTGTGTATATTTACTACCCTGAAAAAGTTTACTAGGAAAACAACTTAGCCAAAGTAGGTAACAACTTAAAACATTGTCTTTGGGGGGCTCAGGGATGCCCCTCATAAAGGATCAAAGCCACTAGAGGGTAGAGTTTTGCAAGACGCACAGGGAGGGAAAACAGATGTTTTCCAAATGAAGTAGGAACCCAGAAGGTGTTTCTTAAAAAGACTTTTCCTTCAAAGTCTTCCCTCGCATTTGCAGGACACCATGAACGAACCCTCTTGATGAGACTTTCAGGCAATTTGCGCCTGGTACCTTTCTCAGCAGGAAAGCCACCCAGCATCAATTAACACCTCCCATTCTCCAAAGGACTCAAAGGGACTGTCACCTGCATGGTGGAGGGAAGAAAGGAATATATGCCCACCATTTCACCAGCTCTGCTCCCGCAGAGATGATACACAGCTGCCAAGGCTCTGCTGGAGCTTTTTTTTTTTTTTTTTTTTTTTTTTTTTTAAGTTTACTTATTTTATTTTGAGAGGTGGGGGACGGACAGAGAGGGAGAGAGAGAATCCCAAGCAAGCTCCATGCTGTCAGTGTAGAGCACGATTCGGGGCTTGATCCCATGACCCTCAGCTCATGATCTGAGCTGCTATCGAAAGAGTCGGATGCTTAACCGACTGAGGCACCCAGGTGCCCCTCGGCTGGGGCTTTTTATTTTTTTTTAATGTTTCATTTATTCTTAGAGAGACGGAGCACGAGCAGGGGAGGGGCAGAGAGAGAGGGAGACGCAGAATCCGAAGCAGGCTCCAGGCTCTGAGCTGTCAGCACAGAGTCAGAAACGGGGCTCCAACTCACGAGCTGTGAGATCATGACCTGAGCCGAAGTCGGACGCTCAACCGACTGAGCCACCCAGGCGCCCCTAGGCTGGGGCTTTTATCACCGACCAAGGACACAGACCTCAGAGGACAGCCTGTTAACTTCACATCGTCGTTGGATGCAGTACTTTGCCAGAAGCGATGCTGAGCCCGTACACACAGCCCTAGCACCCAGTTCGGGGTAGAAAATGGCCAAGTGAACTTTACTGACACCAAAGTCACCCCAAAATCTCCACCGGCAGCATTTCTCTGCATCGCTGTTGTAACAGTGCCGAGATTTCACCGTGATAACCTACGTGCCTACCCCGACCGTGGCCACAGAGCAGGTCAACATTTGGTTCCGTGGCTTCTGTAAAAGGACTCCCTGAAAACAGGCACGGTGAGCCAGGCGCGTCCGTGAGCGAATGCCACACGAACGGAATGCCGGCCACCGCCGCCTGCCACGTGGAGACCCTGAGGGGGCCCCGAGGCTGCAGTGACAACGTCCTTCGTGGGACAGGCCGCAGAAACCTAGCACGGAAGCCGTCCGTTGTGCTAGAATAAGCATTCTGAAAAGACGGATCTGTCGGGATCCGTGAGTGATATGCCGGGGACGGCTGGAGCGCGACAGAGATTTCACACCTGCCAACGCACAGGTCGTCCGTGAGAAACGCTCGGGGAATGCAGAGAAGGGCGGGGATACACGAGCACACACACACCACCCCCCCCAACTCCCTCCATCTCCCGTGGGCGGCGTCACGCCTGTGAGCGCGGGGCTCGTGACTTCCCGCCCGCCGTCCCGTCGGTTCACGCACACCCACGAGCTGCAGCCGTGCACCCCCGTGTCCTCAGCAACTTCAGGTCTCTTCAAGGTAAAGCGCCACAGTCACTTAGGAGTTCCGTCTTGAACCACTGAACGTATGCAGAAAGGTGCGCCTGTATTTACGACGTCCCTATCTTTTCCTCACGTGTCACCGGCGAGAGTTCAGAGTGCAGTGCGCCTCGCCCCCTTCCCCCATCGCCCTGTGGTCTGCCTGTGTGATTCTGCGTCGTGCAGTGAGTTTTAGGAACGTAGATGCTGCGTTAAAGCAAACAGACCTTACGATTCCTACGAACTAAAAATAAATCCAGAATAACCAATACCAACTAGGCTTGCGCGAAACCACTGTGGGAAGAAAAAGAAAATCCCATTTCTGCATATAATCTAAGGGTTTCCCACTGCTCAGGATTATACCCTGCGATGACATAATTAGAACCCAAGCCGTTGTTGACGCAAGCCGTGCTCTGTTGGCAAAGCAAAGCGGGGGAGGGGAGGGGGTGGAACTGCCATGGTGGGTTCCTCGCGGAAGTGACCCCCCACATGCCCCAACAGGTTACACTTGCCTGGGTCCCGTCGTCCTTGGCTCGCTTGATGTTCTGGCGCCCGTCCACCCAGTAGATGAACTTGTCCAGGGGGTCGTAGTCGATGGCCTTGACGTTCCTCAGCCCGTGCAGGGGTAGGATGAGGTCTGGGCTGTGCTGGTCATCGGGGATCATGCGGCTGATGGCACATTTCTGGCTAAACAGCAAGAAGGTGGTGGGCGCTAGAACGAGGCAAACAGATGAGGGGGCTGCGCGTCAGCATCCGGAGCCAAAGACGGGGTCGGCGGGCATGGACTGCGTCGCCCTTCGCGGCGGGGAAAGTGCCGGAAGGACCTAAAAGTACTTCCAGGGGGTGGACCGTGGGGAATTTTCCTCTCTGCACGACGCGTGTCTCTGTTTCAGTATCTTGTGAGTGCATGAGTTATTTTAAAGCAGACAGCAACTGATTTTTAACTTCTCAAGACTTAAGACAGAAGCAGGGAAACAGTAGCAACTAGTCAACTCCCACCCACAAATGTACTTGCTGCCTGGACAAGTGTGTGAGTTGCCGTCGGCCCTCAGGCGGTCAAGTGAATGGTATGAGGTGAACGATGGCGTGGGAGGGGTCACCTCGTGGGGGTGTCAGTGAGCAAAACGGCCTCAGTGCAGAAACTGCACCGCTCGGAACGTTTAAGAGGCCAACAGCCACAGCCTGTCAGAAGTCCAGTTGGGTGGCTTGAAACAAAGTCACGGCCCCCAGTCTGCCGGCCACAGGAGCAGAGACTCGAGTTACAGGCATCCCCGCTGGCTGATGGGTCACCTGCACCACCTGTGCTTGACCCCCCGCACGGTCTGGCCCCCAGGGGACGGGGACAACAGGACCAAAGGGAGCCCAAGAATAGGGAGGCCCAGGCTGGACAGAGGACCCACTACTTCATCAAGACACAAACACATGGGCCAAGCTCTCGGCTGAGACGTTCCACGGGAGGATCTTTGGACATAAAACACCGTCACTGGGGAGAGTACTCACTCACAGAGCCGGGCCTAGGCCTCTAGGTAACAGGCAGTGTATACAGTGCGAAACCTACTCAGCCACCCGTGAACGCCAAGGCACCCCCAGAAAAGGAGCTCCTTTCTAGGGGCACCTGGGTGGCTCAGTTGGCGAAGCATCTGGCTCTTGATTTTGGCTCAGGCCATGATCTCGCAGTTGATGAGTTCAAGCCCCGTGTCGGGCTTGTGTGCTGCCAGCTCGGAGCCCGGAGCCTGCTTCGGATTCTGTCTCCCTCTCTCTCCGCCCCTCCCCTGCTCGTGCTTTCGCTCTCTCTCTCTCTCTCTCTCGAAGAGAAATAAAAACGTCAAAAAACAAATAAATTGATAAACACTAGAAGAAAGAAAGGAAGCGTCTCTCTCCCTCGGCTCCCAGAACCAGCCTGACTTAACACGGGCGAGGGGCGCGGGAGCCAAGAAAGACACTCACGGCTGCAGTTGCGGCTGCTGGGGTCTAGGGTATAGTGGGAGGCGCAGCCGCAACGGTGACCGCCAGGGATGGCGAGGCACAGCTGTCCACACTGCCCGTTGTTGTGCGTGCAATCGTTGAGGCCATCCTGGCGGGAAGAGTGGAACACCAGGATGTCCATCACGAAGTCCAGGTGGCCCTGGATGAGGGTGCGGTTCCGGCCACTGGTCTTGTCGGCCCTCTCGATGCTGTGCAGGTTCCAGTCTGTCCAGTAGATGTAATCGCTGTACTGGGTGAGGCCGAAGGGGTGTGGGAGGTCGTCGGCAATCACAACCCGCTCCTGACCTGCGTGGAGACGCGCAGACGCGGCATCAGCAACACACGGCCGCCGACTGGTCCAAAGCTGCCCGGCCACCCGGGTCAAGGTCCAAGTGTTCAACTGCTTTGGAAAACGAGCAGGGCCGGCTGAAGCCGGACGCCACCCACCCCGTGTCCGGGCAACTCCCCTCCTATCCCGCAAGAGGAGCGCACGTGGGGTCCGCTCGGGCACGACATCGATGCGAGTGCGCACGGCAGCAACTGTAAGGGCCGCGAGCGGGAAACAACCCAAATGCCCGCCCATCAGTTGTGTGGGTGAAAAATGGTGGGCAGCTGAAAGAAGCCAGACCCTAAAGAGCACGTGCTGTATGATCACCAGGATAGAAAGTTCTAGAACAGCAAAACCGGCACCTGGAGACAGAAGCCGGGGCAGCAACCACACGCTATACCCCAGCAGCGGAAGACCCTTGTAATGAACCGTGGGGTAACCCAACGATAGCATGGCCACGTGCAGAGCCCGCACATGATGCACCACGCACAGGGCTCCGTGTCAGTGTGGAGATTACTTAAAAATAAAATCTCAGGGGGCGCCTGGGTGGCGCAGTCGGTTAAGCGTCCGACTTTAGCCAGGTCACGATCTCGCGGTCCGTGAGTTCGAGCCCCGCGTCGGGCTCTGGGCGGATGGCTCAGAGCCTGGAGCCTGTTTCCGATTCTGTGTCTCCCTCTCTCTCTGCCCCTCCCCCGTTCATGCTCCATCTCTCTCTGTCCCAAAAATAAATAAAAACGTTGAAAAAAAAATTTAAAAAAAAAAAATAAATAAAAAAAAAAATAAAATCTCAGAGGGGCGCCTGGGTGGCTCAGTCGGCTGAGCGTCCGACTTTGGCTCAGGTCATGATCTCGCGGTCTGTGAGTTCGAGCCCCGCGTCGGGCTCTGTGCTGACAGCTCAGAGCCTGGAGCCTGCCTCTGATTCTGTCTCCCTCTCCCTCTGCTCCTCCCCTGTTCGCTCTCTCTCTCTCTCTCTCAAAAATGAATACACGTTAAAGAAAAAAAATAATAAAATAAAATCTTAGAAACGTTTTCTTTGAGACTAGGAAAAAAACATGCCGCTACATCAGTACTGGTTATCACGGGGCGGTGAAAATTAGGAATAATTCGCGTTTCTTCATATAGTTCTGTATTTTTGGAAAGTGTCTACGCTGACTATTTTGCCTCTGGGAGAACGCCAGTTATTAAGAGGCTCCCCCACTGCTTCCATCAAATGCACATGTGCGCTCCCCGCCCCGCCCCCCCAAGGGCCCTGCTGCAGGGACAGGTGTCCACAACCATCATGTGTGAGACGCACTTTTACCCCAACAGCCCCAGGTCCGTGCTCCAGGCGCTGCTCGGCTCTCAGAAGCCCTGTGACCCACCCTTCATCCACCCGGGGGCCTCACTAATCGAGTGCTCGGTAAATGTCTGTGGCATTCAATGGAACGCGTGCCACAGCAGAGTGCCAGCCAGGCCCACGACACGCGGCCACCCTCGGTCTGCAGGGTCCTGCAAGTCTCCAGGGTTTCCGTGGATTTCCGCCCGAGCGTGTCTTCGCTCTGGGGTAATTACTGAGCTTAATTATTTCAGGCAACTGCAGCTGTTCAGTGACTGGTTCCCCCACATGCACCAACCAGCCTCTTGTCGTTCACTGCGGGCCTGGGGACACATTCAAACCTTGCCGTTGGCCTCAGAAGCCAGCACGGTGAGCGTGCAGGGGCGGGCGGGGGTGCAGCCCGTCTGGAGCGGAAACCAGGATGCTGGGGCTGGGACAAGCCATTCAGCCAGCCTGTGCCTTGGTTTCCTTACCTGTGAAACGGGCACAAGCACACCCACCCCAGGGAGCAGCAGCCATCAGGAAATCAAGTTCTCCCCCTCACACAGGGCGGCCCCATCACCTGGTGCGTTACCGAGAGAACTAACATAACCACTCCCCTCCAGCGGAACAGAGTCTAGTCTTGCACGCCCCGCCCCTACTGCTGGGTGACTTGGAACGAGGCATTTTTTTTTCTCTTTTTTTACCTAACCCCAGGATGTTGGGTGTGGCCCGTGAGTGGTCCCAACACAATGTCCGGCACGCAGTAGGTGCCCAGGGTCCAATGGAGATTCAACGTGTAGCCCTGGAATCTCTCTGTGACCTTGGGAAGATCCTGTGACCTCCCTGGGCCTCAGTTTCCCCATCAATGAAAGCCTACGCTGTGATACCGAAGGATCAAACTGGACTCCTGGCACACGGCTTAGCTGGGACACGGCTCTCAGTAGGTGTGCAGGAAAAGAGCTGTCACCCGGGGCCTCTGTCAACATGCCACAGCAACAGCACCAGGGAGTGGAAAGGGACAACCCCAGGAGAAGAGAAGGCTGGACGAACAGCCAGGGGTGTGTCCACACCTCCTGTGGGGCCTCGGGACTTGCAGGCCAGAGGGGACGGTGCAGCGGGGGCTGAGAGACAGCCAGCGCCCTGGCCCAGGGATGTCCCATCGCCGCAGGCCAAAGCCCCCGGCCCAGCAGGACCCCGCCTGGCCCTCACCCAGCATGTCGGACGACTCGATCATGTTGGTGTCCAGGTCCGTCCAGTAGAGACGCTGGTCAGCGTAGTCGATGGTGAGGTCGTTGGCCCGGCCCACCTTGTCCACCAGCGTCATGCAGTTGGTCCCGTCCATGAAGGCCCGCACGATCCTGGGCTTCCCGCCCCACTCGGTCCAGTAGACGTACCTGGAAGACACAGGGAGGGCAGCGCGGGCTCGGGTGCGTCCTCTCTCGCTGCAGGGCAGCGGGGGGAGGGACACGACCACCCCATCTCCTCTGCGTGGCCCCCACCAGCCTGGAGAAAGCCACATCAGTGACATCCCTTCATGAAGCAGGGACGGGGCGACGTGCTCGGAGCCCCCCACGACCCTAACATCCCTCCAGATGCCATCACCGGGCTGCCTCCCGAATTCCCACAGCAGCGCACCTGCAGGATTAAGTGCGAACGCACCCGTTTACAGACACTGACTGGGTGCACAGATGGGGTGACCACGTAACCGAATATCCAGGCTGGGACACTTTGGTAGCAGAGACAAACGCGAATCAAGCTGGCCAGGACGCCGCGGTGACAGGGGAAGCCAGGCTGGGCAAGACGTGGGCAAGTCAGGGTCCCCTTACTCAACGAGGGCGGAAGACAAGCATGCGGGGCCGGCAGGCACTGCAGGGCCAGGATTCAAACTCAGCTCTCCTGCCCCCAGTGGGCCCTCCTTCCCTTTTCTGCAGCAGCTCCACAGAAGGAAGCCCCATTCCAGAACCGTGTATTATTTTCCCTTCCGCTAAAACCTGGGCCATTCGCTCTGCGCTGTCGTCCTAAAATCTTTCCTTCCCTAACAGAGCGTGTGACAGGCAGGGTCTGGGGCGTGCCATACGCATCACTGATGCTTTAGGGGCGAGCACTGTGTCCGTGTGCACTCTGGTGCAGAGGGAGACGCGACCCTCGCCCCTCTGGCCCCAGTGCCCGGGGCAGGGCCCCCAGGCTGCTGGCAGATAAAAGTGGGTGCCTTGCGAGGCAGGTGAAACTCTGCCCAGGAGGCCTATAAGATGCCCTTTGCGAGCAGGCTGGAATCCAAGGACCTCAAAGCCGGCTCTGAGATGGAAAAGTCTGGCGACACGTGGTGGGGGAAGGAGCCCAGCTCAGCTCTCCCTGGCTACGTGACCTTCAGTAAGTCACTCAGCAACTCTGAGCCCCGGTTTCCACATCCGTAAAATCAGGGACAAAGACACTTGCCCCCCGCAGGCCCCCCCAGATGCTGTGCCGAGACAGCTCACGTAAAAGTACCCGGCGCGGCACCCGACACAGTGGCTGCCACTCCTTCCCTCGGCCTCAGTTTCCTCTCTGTGAGATGAACTGGATACATCCAAGGGTCCTACCAGCACCGGCCACCTCAAAGCTAGTGGGGGTCATTACCGCTCCAATCACAGAGCGCCCGCTGGACAGCCACCCACCTCGGCCACGGGTCATCCCACGCCGGCTGACGGACAGAAGTGGGAGGGGACAGAGACGTGTGTGACAAGCAGAAATGGCTCTCACCCTTTGGTGGGGTCCAGGGCCAGTGACCTGGGGTTGTCCAAGTCCCTCCACACGAGGACCTGCCGGAACTGCCCGTCCAGCCGGGCCACTTCGATCCTGTTGGTCCCGGTGTCCGCCCAGTAGAGGTTCTGGCCCATCCAGTCAACGGCCATGCCTTCTGGGTAGTCGAGGCCAAACTCGATCACGTGCTCCACGGAGCTCCCGTTCATGAAGGCTCGGCTGATGGTCTGGGGGCAGGGGAGGAGGCAAGGGCCATGGGTTAGGAAGCGGCATTTTTGCAGACCTCTAACCAGGAGGTGCTTGGCCCACCTGGAACACGATACCGACCACGTCTGGGGCCAGATCGTCACCAGCGACAGTTTTCAAATAAACGCTTGAAATGCAGCCAAATACAACTTTTTGTTAGGGGAAAAAAAATGATTTGGTGATATTTAAACATTTACGTTTTATACGCGTATGTATATAGACACGTCCTTTTATCCAAACATCTACCTCGTGAAATTTTATCTGGAAGAACTAATGTAACGCAAAAGATGAGAAGCTGCTGAAACGTCAGTGAGGCTTGTGCACAGAGGTGTTCACGACCGTGGTAATGGGGGTGGGGAACTGGAAGCCACCACAGCATTTAAAATAAGGGAATGGCGGGGTGCCTGGGTGGCTCAGTGGGTTAAGCATCTGACTTCGGCTCAGGTCATGATCTCACAGTTTGTGAGTTCGAGCCCCGCGTCAGGCTCTGTGCTGACAGCTCGGAGCCTGGAGCCTGCTTCGGATTCTGTGTCTCCCTCTCTGCCCCTCCCCTGCTCATGCTGTCTCTCTCTGTCTCAAAAATAAATAAAAACGTTAAAAAAAATTAAAAAAAAAAAAATAAAAGAGAACGTAAGACCTTTGAGGCAGGGCCGTCACCGGCAAGGTGTTCACGGCAAAGCCGTGCGCGTAGGACCCCTTGCAGACTGTACCTTCAGGCTGACGTCCGTCCAGTAGATGTGATTGTTGGACACGTCGAAGTCCAGCGCGGAGGCCTCCTTGACGCCCGTGAGCGGGATGGCCACGTCATTGTTGTTGGTCTCCAGGGAGATCCTGTGGATGGCGGCCCTGCTCGTGAACACCAGGAAGGCCTCGGGGACAATGCAGGTCTTTGTGTCGCTCAGCAGCTCCAGGCCGATGGGGCAGCCGCACTTGGTCGCGCGGGGCGTGAAGAAACACAGGTGGCTGCAGCCCCCGTTCTTGTCCGCACACGGGTTGGTTCCTGGAAGGAAGCACAGCGGCTCTGAGCACGGGCAGCCCGGAGAGAGAGGCGTGCCTCGATCTGCCATCGCACGTCCCTTCATCTCCGCCGGACATCGAAGGGGGACACCAGGCGGGGATGACGGACACCGTCCAGGGAAGGGGCAGTAACAATGACCCGGTGTGTCCGAACTCACGCCGTCAGGCCAGCAGCCTGGGAGGTGGGGGCCGTGCCCACCCCCGTTTTTCAAGCAGGGAAACTGAGGCCTGGAGAGGGGACAGGTGACACAGGTGACACAGGAAGTAGCACAGATGTAAGAGTGCCACGTGACGGGACAAGTTACCCTTCCCTGGGCCTGGACTCCTGGCCCGCGGACCGGACCGATCCCCCCTACGGCCCCTCCAGTTCACCAGTGCTTTGCAGCCTCCCAAACTCGGGAGTCGCCCAGGGCCGCCAAAGGGGCCTCTTCTTTACGACAGCAGACGGCACTGGGCATGATCATTTATTTTTGGCCAGCCTGTTATTCTCACCTGCTGAGGTGCTGCTAAAAATCGGCTTTTAGTGTTAAGTATTTCAGCTAAAATGAAAGAATCCTTTTCCCCATCCCTCTCAGCAAATCCTCGGATGAGAGAGAGACAGAGAGATGAACCCAATTTCTCAACTTTAAATCATATCCCACGGAGACATCTTTTTTCCTAGCTGTTGGGTTTCATTTTTTGTTTTGTTTTCTTTTCTTTTTAAACACTCACAGGCGGGCCTCACCTTGGAAGGTGGATAATCAACATGTTTCAAAAGGCGACTGGTAAAACTAAGTCCCATCGTCTCTTTACCAGGAGTGCGGGTCGCTGGACAGTAAGGCCCATCCCAGGGACACAGAGGCAGCCCACACCGCCTCACCTCACCGCCAGGCCGCTGCCCAGCTGCCCCTCTGCCAGGCAAACCTTGCCGCCCCCTGCTCCCCAAATTCCAAGCTCAGGTGACCTCCCTCGTGTTTCCAGGCCAGGCATCCCTAACATCCCAGCTCTGACCATTGCCTGGTTGCAGAGCTAACTAAGGAGGGTCTCACCACTAGACTGTGAGCTACTTAAGGGCAAGTGATGGATCCTCATTCATTCATTCATTCATTCATCCCCCAAAGGTCTGTTGAGCACCTCCGAGGTAGAGGTGCTGTACTAAGTAAAGAGCCCCTGCCCCCATGGAGCCCAGAGACCCGCCCCTCCACCTCCCCTACCACACCCGGACACTACTCTCTCCAATGTAGCCTACTGACCTGCATCTGGAATCCTTTGCATAAAGAGACAAATCGTCGCGTTAAGTGAGATGCGGCAGATCCTGACTTTCAGCTAAAAGGTGTGTATTTGAGTGAGGGGCCATGAGACAAGGATCACAGCCCACCCCAGGGAGGAGGCGAGGCAGACCCGGGGTGAGTCCTCAGCTCAGCCACTTCTCGGCCATGTGGCCATGCCTCCTTCCTCACAGTGCGAATGGGGCAACACTGTACTGAGCGTTATAGAGCTGCTGTGGGCACTGAGGCACTTAGCCAGAGCTGGCACACAGCAGGCACTCAACGAACACTAACCATTATGAAAATATTGCCAGAGAGGCCTGCCCACAACCACCACCTAGTCAATATCCCAGGCCCATTAACAAAAAATTGGGAGAAAAAAAGGGGCGCCTGGGTGGCTCAGTCGGTGAAGCATCCGACTTCAGCTCAGGTCACGATCGCGTGGTCCGTGAGTTCGAGCCCCGCGTCGGGCTCTGTGATGACGGCTCAGAGCCTGGAGCCTGCTTCCGATTCTGTGTCTCCCTCTCTCTCTGCCCCTCCCCTGCTCATGCTCTCTCTCTCTCTCTCTCTCTCTCTCTCTCTCCCTGTCACTCAAAAACAAATAAGCATTAAAAAAAAGTAAAATGTATACACATATCCCTGACCGAGATGCCACACCCATTCCCTCCTGTCCTTAACCAGGTATCACCATATCCTGTCCTGCCCCTCCCCAGACTGCGTGCCTGTGGACCAAAGTGGGGCCACAGCCCGCCGCTTCTCCCTTGTGCCAGTCGGCATGGCTGACCCGTGGCTGGAGGCTGACCACACTCACCGACAACCTTGGCCACGTTCACAGCCTTGAGCCCCATCAGGTCGGGCAGCTGGTCGATGATGACGTCCCGGGTGGCCTTGACCTTGTGCACACGCTCAATGCTGCGCCGTTGCCAGTCGGTCCAGTAGATGAAGTCCCCTAGCAGCGTGAACCCAAAAATGTGCGGGAGCTTGTCCTCCAGGAGCGTCCGCCTCTTGGTCCCGTCGACGTTGATCACCTGCGGGATGGCAGACGCAGGTGTGAACCGGCCTCGGGCCTGGGCTGCCTGAAATACGACAGCTCCCGGGATGCTCGGCTCCGCCCTCGCTGGGCCAGGATACAAAGCCGGGTGGCATGGCTCACGGGCACAGCTGGACGGATGACCTCTGCGGTGACAGAGCTGGCTCAGGGCTCTCCCCGCAGCCTCCCCTACCTGGGTGCGGCTGCTGTGCCGATAGGTGTCCCCTCCCTTCCTGCTGGCAACGGCTGCCTGCAGCACCAAAGTGCGGGCCTCCGACCAGGGGCGGGCTGTGACCGCAACATCTGCCCACACGCAGCTCTGGCAGACATCAGATCACTCTCTCAACACAGACTCGAGTTTCTTTTTTTTTCAACGTTTATTTATTTTTGGGACAGAGAGAGACAGAGCATGAACGGGGGAGGGGCAGAGAGAGAGGGAGACACAGAACCGGAAGCAGGCTCCAGGCTCTGAGCCATCAGCCCAGAGCCTGACGCGGGGCTCGAACTCACGGACCGTGAGATCGTGACCTGGCTGAAGTCGGACGCTTAACCGACTGCGCCACCCAGGCGCCCCCAGACTCGAGTTTCAAGAGGCTGGATTACTAACACGCCGTGGGCCCTGGGCAAGACCTTCCACTTGTCTGTGGACCGATTTCTTGCTTGGTCGGGACCAGACGAACTCTGAGTCTGATGACTTCTGGGCCTGAGTCTAAGCCTGTAGCTCTAAGACGCTCTCCATCCGCAGACCCGCTACTGGCCATTTGCTCTGAGACAGAAAAACTCAATCTTTTTCTGGGAGAATCAGTGCTGAGGCAAAGCGTTGACCACAAAAGCCACAGAGGAGAAACCTACCGTCAGACGTGAAAACGCCTTAACCAACCGAAGCACACAAATGGGGTAAGATGTGATTCCGATGACAGGTGACCCTGCAGAAGCTGACGCTGAAAGGAAGACTCGACAGAAACATGACGGCGAGGCTCTCCGGCTCTCAGGCCAGGATGAAAGAGACATGATGAATGAAAGTCAGGTCCCAACAGGCCTCCCGCAGCCAGATTAGATTTCCAGCTCATCAAGAAAAGCGATAAATCCTCTGTTTCGCAGGTGGTGGGAACGTAAGACAGATCAAATTCATGCTGAACAGAAGAGACTTGGGTCCTCTGCTGTTGGACAGCACAGGACAAAACTGCTTTGGTCACCTGAGAGGGGCAGGGAGCTCCACGTCCAGCCCGGCCAGTCCCTGCACCCCGTGGACCTCATTTCTCCACCTGTAACTGAGAGGAGTGGCTGGGGTCACCCAGGGAACTTGACCAAAGAAAGAACAATGGCCGGGCCCCGATCAGAACCAGAAGGCCTGGCCCCAGTACGGATCCTGAATGCAGCTCCACACAGGTGGTCCCAACGTGCAGCCCAGGTGAGAACACCGGATTAGGTGATGCCCTTGACCATGAGCTGGGGAGCTGCCGGCCTCGCCCAGGAGGGAGCTCAGGTTGTATTGATTTCTGTGCCCACCTCTGGGTACTACTTCCGGCCCCTCTGGTTTCCCTCCTCCCTCAGCTGGGAATAACCAGGTCCGGGGAAGCAGTGGTCCGCACGGACAGCACATTCGCGCTACAAAGAAAATCATCCACCGCTAGAAAAAGAAAAAAATCACGACTCAAAGCTGTAATATACCAAAATGTCAATACCGCCTTTAAGCGATTTTTCTCTTCCTTCACTATTTCCATATTTTCTCAACTTTCTTTAATAACGGAATTCCAGACATAAATAAATACACGTTCTATTGAACTGGGGCAAGAGAGTACATTTTTCCTGGCTCAGGAGCAATGAAAATGAGCCCACGGAGGACACGGGGCCAGCAAGGGTGATGGCGTTGGCTGCAGCCTGTCCTCTCTCCCCGCCTCTGCCCCTCTTCGGCCGCCCAGCTGCGCCCACCGCCAGGGAGGGGAAGGGTCCCGCACACTGAGAAGCCACTCTACGACCCCGATCATTTTCCATCCTGGCTGCAGAACCCACGAAGCACCTCGAAGGCTCTCCACCAAGACTCCTAATACTTGAAAAAAATTAACGATCCCAAAGTGATTTTCTTATTAAAAATTTTTTTTTAATGTTTATTTAGTTTTCAGAGAGAGAGAGAGAGAGACAGAGCATGAGTAGGGAGGGGCAGAGAGAGAGGGAGACACAGAATCTGAAACAGGCTGCGAGCTGTCAGCACAGAGCCCAATGCAGGGCTCAAACCCACAGACAGTGAGATCATGACCTGAGCCGAAGTCAGATGCTCACCGACTGAGCCACCCCCCAGGCGCCCCCCCCCAAAGTGATTTTTTATGGCGGCTTTCAGCACACCATGAGCAAATCCGGACCATCCGTAAAAGTTAACTCTGCTGGACGGGGCCTTTAGCCAGTCCTGGAGCACCAGAAGAGTTGGTCTACTGGGAGCACCCACGTCTCAATATTCCAAATTTCCTAGAGCCCTAAGTGGCGCTGAGGGTGGGGAGACAAGACACAGGGCACATGCCCATCTGACTCCTGCGAGGGTAACGCATCCACACGAAGTCAGGAATAACGGAATCGAGTCTGAACACCCGGGGATGTTGGGGCCAGGGGAAGGCATGGGAGACAGATTTTCCAGGTCAAGCGCTGACAAACTTTTCCTGCAAAGGATCATAAATATTTTCAGCTTTGCGGCCATATGGTCCTTGTAACGCCAAGAATAACCACAGGGAGTGTGTAAGGGAACAAGTGTGGCTGTGTTCCAGGAGAACATCGTTGGTGCAGAAAACAAAAATTACTTTCTGGACGCTGAGATGTGAATTTCGTGTCACTGTCACATGTCACAAAATAGCACTTTAATTATTTTTTTCAATCATTTAAAAGTATAAAAACCATTCTCCGTTTGACACAGAAACAGGCAATCTGGCCCACAGGCTGTAGTTTTCACCCGCTCTAGAATAGAGGGGCCTGTGCCCTTGATTTTCGGGAAAAGAAACTAGTCGTTTTCAGGAAGTTACAGAAAAATGATCACGCCAAAGGCGCCCGGGGGCCAAACTTGCTCTCTCTGACCCGTGGCTTCTGCCCTCCTGTGCTTGGCCAACTCCACGGTCCCAAAGAAGCCCACGCTCAGCCCAGCACTGAGGGGAAGACGCCACACAGGTCTGCGGGGAGGCCCACGAAATGTGGACCCCAGAAAGTCACCTGGCTGTAGTTTCCTTACACCGAATCCTCTGTTTCCACTGACTTAGTCAAACAAAGAGATATGAGCCCAAGACCAACCCTGTGAAAGCACACGTTTAAAGGAAAAAGACTTCTGTCTTCTTAATAAAACAAAATTTTTTAATGTTTGTTTATTTTTGAGAGAGAGAGAGAGAGAGCATGAGCAGGGGAGGGGCAGAGAGAGAGGGAGACACAGAATTCGAAGCAGGCTCCAGACTCCAAGCTGTCAGCACAGAGCCCGACGTGGGGCTCGAACTCCTGAACCGTGAGATCATGACCTGAGCACCCTAAGATTTCTGTTTTCTGATGGAATCATTATCACAGTCAGACATAAACCAGACATAAATTAAAACTGCCATGGTTATTTTGTTCCACATAACAAAAAAGATCTTAGACACACACTTGCGTGCACGCGGCTCAGCTGCCGGGATGCCCTGTGCTCTAACTTCTTCCCTGGGGACGAGGGACACACAGCCAACAGGCCTCGAAACCATCACTGTCGCACTGAGTTTTTATTCTGGTTGTACCGGAAGTCGCCTCCATCGACTCAGGAAATGTCAGGAGCAGGGAGATGGATAGATTTTTAACTTCTCAGTCCGTGATTTACCCCCAGCCCGCCGGCCAGCCTGCCCTGCCTGGGTACTCTGCCTGAGAGCCTATGCCGATGGCAGATGTCCGCCAGCAGATGTCAGCTGCACTGTCCCAGCCGGAGTGAGACAGCAGGGGGCCTCGGAGAGCCCAGACGATCCAGGGCCCCCAGCAAGTCCACGGCAAGCCACACGCTGGTGACAAGTGACACTTCATGCTGCAGAGACAGGCTGAAGAGCCGGGGCTGGGGGTCGGCCTGCAAGACCATCGTCAAGTCAGAGCAACCCCGAGGGAAAGAGCCGAGGAGGAAGCTTTACAGATGAAGCCTTCAAGGAGCGAGACCACTCCTCGCTTTTACTCAGTAACGGCTTAAACCACCCCCCACGGACACACACCACAGAGCGTGCAGAGGTGAGGCTGCTTCGCGCGTGTCCAGCCGTTTAAAAAACTTTTCTTTAACGTTTATTATTGAGAGACAGAGAGACACAGAGCGTGAGCAGGGGAGCGGTAGAGAGAGGGGGAGACACAGAATCCGAAGCAGGCTCTGGGTTCTGAGCTGTCAGCACAGCTGGGGCTCGAACTCACAAACTGCGAGATCATGACCTGAGCTGAAGTCGGTTGCTTAACCAACTGAGCCACCCAGGCACCCCAGCCGTTTAAATGCTTTGCCTATTTCAGCGCTGATAATGGGTACAATTCCTCCCTCTACTCTAGAAACAGGAGGCACCAGAATCCGCACAAATAAGCTGGAGGAGAAGGCAGGGCATCAGAACAAGTGCGGCCGGAAAAGCAGCCGAGGGGCTGCCTGGGAAGCTTGAATGTCACCCCCCAGCACCCCGTCCCCTCTCCCCAGCGTCCCCCTGGAGCACTGACCGCCCCCGACGTGCTGCACTGTTGTCCTGTTATCCCTGCGTCTATCCCCCCATCTAGGACACCCGCCCCCACCAGGGGGCCCTCTGTGCCCTGCTGCTCTCCCAGCACAAGGCGGCGTTCAGTAGACCCTGCAGAATGAACAGGTGCTTGCCGAGGGGTGGGGACGTGATAGACGGCACTGTGATGCGACGGGAATTCTGTTCAGGGACCGGCTGAGCAGCCACGGGAAAGGGGCACCTGCCTGGACAGGGACGAGAGGAGGGGGCCCAGCAAGGGGCAAGTGGGAGCCACAGAGAGCGTGTGGGAGGGAATGATGGAAGGGCGTGG